GCATGATTTATGTCTGTAGCCTATCCGAATAAGCGTGATCGTATGTGCAGATATGAAAAATGTATATAACCACGCAAGTGGAGCAATAAAGTGAATCGACTGTGCATTGTATCAATGTGTGAGAGTCGTTCCTGTCCCTGCATGGATGCTGAAACTCGGCACAACTGTACCAATTCATGTCACAGTAATAATGATATAACATGTAAGTCATATACTGGAGGTGTACCCTCTTAGTGAGGGCTTTCTTGATTTTATTAATTCCTATCATAATTTTATGGTCTAAATGATTGACTATTTTTTTATTAAAGTACAGTATGCAATTCATAATGGCCCAAGAAGTGCTGAGTACTCACAATTTAATTTAAGGTATTAATGAATTTCACAGCAAATACATTTGGCTACTGGGCATCATAAGGTGCCATGATGACAGTCCTGCTTATAGTTATTGTGGCCAGTCTGCTCCTTTGTGGAGGAAATGTTTGGTTTTTTTTTTCCTACCACACACTGAGCTTTCCTCCTTTGTTAATATTGCTTCAGTGCTGAATTAGCTTCAGTTAATTCTGCAGACTCATTACTCTCTTATGACTGTGCATGTTAGTACTGCTGCATTGGCTCATGTGAGGCACTAGGACTTCTGGGAATGCTTGCTTGGGAACAGCATTAAGCTGTGCTACCCTATGAATTAACTTGCAATGTACTGAACAAGAATATGTCTTCTTTCGGGGCATCCATGTGGAAATTCTTAAATCTAAAAACTCATTAAATAAAAGCAGTAAGTAATGAACTGATACTCCAAGTGTGACCTAGCTCTACTGTCAGCATTACTAATACTCTTGTTTTGGCAACACATGACCAATATGAGGTTTAATACATAGTGGAAAGCATTTTTTCTGTGGTTGGACATATGGAAAATGCACCTGTTCATGGACATGGATCAGTATAGTCGTCCAACAGGGATTTTAGTAGCCATAAGGGATCCTTTTTTGCTGACTGTGGAGAGGGACTACACGCACAGTGTGGTAGGAATATAAAACCATGCTTGACTGGGATAACCATCACTACTGGCTTGCCTAGTAGTATGTAGGAAGTTCTTTTAAGGGGCATTTCTGTTTAAATGCTCTGGAAGCTTAGGAGAGGAGTGTGTAATGTGAGATTTAAATTATACAAACTGTCTTGATTTCTGTGCAAAAAGGGATAGGTAGAAGGGAAGAAGTTCACAGAAGTAGTAAAGGGCAATTAGGATGACACTTGTGCCCTCAAAGCAGTGAGTCTATTTCCAGTCCAGGTTAAACCAAGACCATGAGCCATTCATGCTAATCCAGGCCAAAAGCATTGTCAATGTTTTCCCATATACAGTGCTTCATAATGGAGCTGGGTACAGTAAATCTTACTTTTACAGAGTACTGTAAGAGACTCTTGGTTCCTGAAAATGAATGATGAACTGTCATTCCTCATCAGAACATTTGCCAACCTGTTCACAGAGCAGAAGTTCTGCACATTTTAGGTGCTGTTTTGAACAGGTAATATGAATGGGTATGAGTAAAATGCAATTGTTAGATGTGAAGTCAGGGACCAAAGCAGCAGAAGAGCTCCAAAAGTCTCTGGAAGTAAATCGAATCATTTGTGACATTAGATAAGGTAGTCAGAGGAGTGATGGAATAAATGATGTGCATAACTTTCACTTCAAGGATTTAGATACTAACATTAACCCAATGTGATTAGAGGATTCTCTAATTCAGGCCTGGAGGCCAGGTACTTGTAAGGATGCCCCGACAACTGTGGAAGGCCATGTCTTGCGCTTTAACCCCATATTCTAAGAGGGCCAGGGACAAGCTCCAGGAGCTAATGGTATGAGCAGGCTAGACAATTCTGTGTGTTCTTGGTAAGGCATTTTTTCTGGTGTAGGTAAAGCCATTCCTGTAAGCAAATGTGGCTTCCCTGTTGCATGATACACCAACTCAGAGACTCTGCTGCAGTGACTGCAGATGCTCATCATATTAGAGATCTTAATACATTGTAGTGTTAGAATATTCCATCAGTTATATTATGGCTTTCCAAGCAATTTAATATTTGTCCAAAATATGGCTAATACAGCGTAATATCCACAGATGAATAAAACACTGGAAACATGCCAGGGAGCAAACTCCAGGAATATTCTGTTTATTGCTAGTTTTGAAATATAATATTTTAAATTCAGTAAGATAATATTGTGTTTCAATGTACTACATCTTTCTGCCCTTGAACAGCATGAAGACATCCATTATAAATAAAAAGTTACTATATAACATCTGGATGTTATGACTATGAACACTAAACACAACTGGGTTTCAGTGCGGTCACTTTCTTGTGAGATCAAGTGAAATGGTATTTATTACTTTTGAGAATTACTGGAATAAAAAGAATCACTGTTCAGTTAAAAACAACTTTAATCTGTTTTTGATGAGCCATTTGGCTGAATGTTGTACAGGACCACACAGAGGAACGTTTTTGGAGAGTCTGTTTGCATATTTAAAACTTGTAAAGTGTATGCAGCTTTGGTAGTAGCAATGTGGCAAACTGAAAAAATACCTTAGATGCTTAGCAGTGCCTTTATGGTTGGGGGGGGGCTCTTGAGTGTTGACAGAAAGGCTGTTGGGGCAGAATGTGTAGGTGTCTTGTGTTATCCCCAGACAGTATGTTGGCAACAAAGAAGTAGAGATCAATGGGGTGTGGTCAAAGTTCTCAGATTTTTTAAAAATTGTTTTGACATAAAAAAAAAAGTTAAAATGTGAAGAATAAGGTATTTAGCTCTAATCATAAAGAAAGCATTCTTTATTTGTATCAAAGCCAGTTTTTGTCTTGCTTTAATGAACAGAAGGACAGACACAAAGAAAAAGAAATACAATAAAAAATGAAATCTTTATTTTTTGGCTCATTTGTAATATTGTTTACGTTGTTTATAATAATAACAATTTCCTGCATGCATTTCACCAACACGTTACAAGTCGAAAGCATCTGTAAAAGAAAGATTCTACAATTAATGATAGCTTGTGTCTGAAACACAAAATGTCCTGATGCCCTTGATTATACAAATGTGCCATTTTGTTCTTGTGAAATATTGTGGATCCTATTTGTACAAGTCTAGTGCAGCGTGATTCAAAAAGAGTAAGAATAGGCTATGTAAACAGACACTGCAAGATATCAAGGATTTCATGAACAATGAGACTATCTTGGAACTTCTGATGCAAACAGTGCTAGAAATTCGCACATTCCCCTAATACATTCCTTGCTTTGTCCTGTTACCAGATATAACTATTTGGAAACAAGCTGGGTTCCAGATTTACACAATTTACTTCACATTGGAATATATGCAAATATAATATTAAAACAAGATAGTCTACAAATACTTACTTTTTTTTCTCATAATGTGATGATGCCAGTTTGAAATTACTGTGATTAGAAAGTAAGCCAAGTGAATGAGGAAAGAAATATAAGAAACAGTGATCTAAACTTGAAGACTTTTATATACAAAACTGTTGCCAAATGGTATTTCTTTACATTATTTATATATGCTAATCACATTTTTCAACAAGTTAAACAGTTTGCAATATGGCCTGTACAGTCTGATTCTACACCATATAGTAGCCACTTCAAATTTAAAATGCAAAACTAAAGAAGCTCATAAAAAGCTGCAAACTATTGCTTAATGATTTGAAAGAATGAGGTCTGGTTGGACAATCTGATTCACTTCACCACTGACACATGGCTTCCTATAGTGGAGACTGCGGACAGTGGAAGGAGCAAGATACAGCAGCAAAAGCATTGACATGCATCAGTGACACTCTCCAAACCATCTATAATGACACAATATGTCCTGTTGAGCTCTTGCAGATTACCGATACTGTGGTACATATTGGATGCAATTCAATGTGGCAAAGACGTTTAATTCTGTGCTCAAATATGCATGACAGTATACTGTTAATATTTACATGGAAAAGGGTATTTTATTGATTCATTGGATGTTGGCCATAATGAGAGAAGCCAGTAACTAAAGAACAGTCTAGGAAAAAATTTGAGCTGTTTTAAAAAACCAAAGAACTCCCAGGTATATTTTGGTAAAGCTATTTTCCCAGTGCAGAAATTGCACAATATTTTTTAAGCTGTGAATATTTTAACAAAAACATGAACTTGTTCATGTTTAATGATTTGCATAAAAATAAGTCATTGCAGGTTCCTGTAACTAGAGAAGACTTCGCAGGCACGTTAATCTGGATGCACATAATCTGGATGCAGCCATACGAGTAGTTAGAACACCTCAAATTTAAGAGCAACCCTGAAACATGGAAGTCTTAAAATCTTTAGCTTTGTGCAATGTCATATTTTTATTTACGCATGACTGACAAGTGCAGCATACCTATGCAAATCACTTCTATCTGTACATTATAGAGAATCTGAGAGTAGAACATCCGGTCCTCATACCTCTTTCCCCAACATAAAACCTGTTACAAAAATAGTCACATGTAATAGTAACCAACCTGTGAATTAAAAAATGAAAAATACACTAATACTGATTCTGCAAAAATATGACACATGTAGCAGCTGCATTACAAACAGTGAAGAGAATTACTGTTCTATGTGTTTTGCGGTATGTGAAACACAAAAAAGTATCGCTTTGCACTCGTTTCATGCTCCATGTTCTCCGCGGAGCCAATTTTCTGCTCATTCTTAGCAGTGTCAGCTGTAGTGAAAACAGTCACCTCTTGTCAAGTTTGTTACCCTGATTCACAGAGTCACAGTTTGATAATGAAGGTTCACTGTTTTGTTATAGGCACTGACCTTAAGTATTAATATAATGTCTATATATGCACACACACACACACACGCGCGCGCGCGCACACACACACATATATATATATGTGTAAAAACTGTCAGTTTGGCATAAATCTCCTGCAGGAGTCCAGTGGATGCTTCATTCTCAAAGACTGTAAACAAGTTGTCCCACAAGCAGAATTCTTAGATCTTTATTTTTTATTTTCCCTGACAACTTTACCTTTGTAGTTCTTTTCTGCTTTATCTTTTTCGTATTTTTCTTTGTCTGGCTTTGTTACACTGTCATAAGAAGGTGGGGAAGTTGTAGAGGAGCTCTCATCCGTTTTTTCTGGAGTAGAGTTCCCATTTAGTTTATCAGTAATTATCTCTTTTATAACTGGTCCATCTCCTTCTTTGTTTTTATTTCTGTTATATATACTAGACACCTTTTTAACTTTTTGCCTTAAAAGGTAGTGCCTGTAGGCACGCTGAATAATGACAGCAGATACCTCCTCCTGTTTTCGCTTTAATGTGGTTGTAATTGGTTCGTAGGAGACTTTACCAGAGAAGCTGCAAAATCAGACAATTTGCTATATTCTATGAATTGTGTTGCATCAGGATCATATTTTTCCCAAACCTCATAGAACATCTCAAAGTCATCCTCGCTCAAGGGTTCAGCGCTTTCTTCAGTAGCAACACCAAAGTTCTCCAAAATGACAGCAATGTACATGTTCACCACTACCAGAAATGATATGATAATGTAGCTGACAAAGAAAAAAATCCCAACGGAAGGGTTGCCACAGTCGCCTTTAACGGAGCTCCCCGGGTGAGCTTTATGGGGGTCACAGTCTGGCTCCCCACTGTTAAGGATTGGGGCTAGCAAACCATCCCAGCCAGCAGATGTGGTAATTTGAAACAGGCAGATCATGCTGTTGCCAAACGTTTCAAAGTTGAACATGTCATCAATCCCAACTTCCCTCTTAACATAGGCAAAGTTGGACATGCCAAATATCGCATAGATAAACATGACCAGGAACAGCAGCAGGCCGATGTTGAACAAAGCCGGAAGAGACATCATCAAAGCAAAAAGCAGAGTGCGGATTCCCTTAGCGCCTTTAATGAGACGCAGGATTCGACCGATTCTGGCAAGTCGGATGACTCTGAATAGCGTAGGGGATACAAAATATTTCTCAATCATCTCCGCTAAGAACATACCTAGAGTAAAAAAAGTGAATACTTGAAAAATAATTTAAAGTTCATTCATAACCTATAGAAAAAATTATTTATTTCTGTCTCCAAAACAATCAGTACAGGGAGTCTATGTTATAGCAAAACATCATACAAGTTATTACATTTTATTGAAAGCTGTTATTAAGGTGAAAGTACCTTCCTTATGTTGAAATGCTATCTAGGAGAAGAGAAATGAGTAAAAGAAGACTGCTTGTAGCAAGATAGGTAGTGTCTATCTAAGCTTTTGGTTATTCGTAGAGCAGCCTGGAAAGAGAAGTTTCTGTCTTAGATATAATTAGTTCTTGAAGCTGAGCCTATTAACGCTGTCTTTTATGAAGGACTATATTGGCTTAATTTCTACAAATTTGTAATTTTCTTTTTACCTGAGTATCTACACTCTATCAGCACAGCCTTTCTCAGGTGTATCGCTCTCTCAGACTTAAGTTTTGTCATACAACTCATTTGCACCTTGGAGAGTCATTAGCTTTTATTTGACAGAAATCTAAATATTCACCAAGACTTTAGTTAGCAAAAGCAATTAAAAATCTCACTCCCTTCACATACTTTTCAGTTTCAGTACTGAAAGCAAATTTGTAGTTAGTTTGCCTATACCACTAAACATTCCTCTTTATATTTGTACATGTTAATCTGATGTGCCAAATAGTTCCTTTACATCTTTTGATGCGGAAGATGACAGTGAATCTAATGGGAGAGATAAAAATCTTACATGCAATATTTCATGTATGGTATGCTATAAAGTACAAAAGATCTGACTCAAGATGTAAGTCATATAGGAAGCAGAAAATTTCATATTGATATCATATTATTCTTGAAACAAATGTTGCCTTTTCCTTCCACTAGTTCTTTCTTGAAAGGGAATTGCTCTTACCTACTATGGAGAGAATCACAACCACAAAATCAAAAATATTCCAGCCTATAGTGAAGTAGTAATGGCGAAGTGAAATCAATTTCAGGACACATTCTCCAGTGAAAAGGATAATGAACACAAGGTTAATCCAGGATAAAATTGTTTCCATTTCTTTACTCTGGTCATCTGTTTCTACCATCATTGTGACCATGTTAAGGCAGATGAGTATCATGATGCTGATGTCAAATACTTGTTTGGTTACAAAATCAAAGACCATGCCTTGGAATTTGTTCTGCAAAACCAAAGATGGAATACAGTTTATAGTTGAAAATATTTGTCTTTACAAATGCCAAATGGGAAAGCAAGTCTCTGCAAGATTTAGGAGTGCAGAGCAAGACCCATTCACAATACATTGTTAACATACACCAGACCCATGCTGGTTTGTATCTCATCCTGTTAAGAGTGGATCAGGAAGTGTACCGCTGTTCGCTGAAGGGGGGGAAGGGAAACAATGCAATAATAATAGTAATAACATTGACAATTTGTATTATTGATGTAAAAAAGGTGGTATAACTTGATACGCAGCAAGAGTACCAGCCAAATCGAAACTCATTTTCTTATCTTTTTTCTTAGCTGCTCTTAGAATACGAGCCCCCAGAAACGTCTCTCTTTTCCTTAAATAAATTGTGCTTGGTGAGATGATTGGACCGCTGAAGTTACATGTCTCAAACACACCATGACTGCAATATCCTAGTTTTCCTTTAGTACTTAGCTAAACGTTTGTTGCCATATGTCTCTCCTTAGAAAGACTATTTTTAACCACTCGGTGCATAAGGTGCAACAAGTATTTTATTTTTTCCAAACACTGTATGAGTTCAGTAAATAACAGAGTAGTTTTGAGGAAGAACTTCTTCACTCTGAGGGTGACAGAGCCCTGGAACAGGCTGCCCAGGGAGGTTGTGGAGTCTCCTTCTCTGGAGATATTCAAGACCCGCCTGGACAAGGTCCTGTGCAGCCTGCTGT